CCGAAATTGCATAGATTTATATGAATGTTAAAATATCAAAAGTATGCAAATACTTTGAGATTCTTAGTTTGGACAGGTGTAACATTACTGATCGATGAAAAAGCCTTCTCTGAGGGGATTCAGGCCACGTGCCCATCAGAAATGCCTCTTTCACAATCCTCCACACCTGCATTTTCAGCATGGTCTTCAGAATCAAAATGAAAGAACAAGAACTCAAGTGATAAAGAAGCGATAAGAAGTAATTCTTCATTTCCTTTCTCCCCTTTTCCTCCTTTTCTCAAAGTATCTAACCTTGTATCTCACAAGAAAGGGTGGGATTTGTCAGAGATCCTTTTGAGTGAGCCACTGCTCAGTTTTGGCATTCGTGCTACCACAACTCATCCTGTAGGGACATTTAGAAAGGCGTCTCTTGTTATCTGTGAGATTATTTGAACTTGACGGGATAAATAGATTATTGGTTGAGAATACACGTTCTGACCATAGAAATATGACAGTTTGTTACTAGTAGGCAGTACATTAGCAGTTAGAATGACATTTAAGTTTCTGTATTTTGAAGACCTATATGAGTAATGCCTATTGTGCATGTGTACAAATATGTATATGTGTGTGTGGGTGTGTGTATACATATCTTATTTATGTATATACTTATGTGTAAATTCAGTGATTTAAGATGAGCACAGAGTACTTCAGCAGGTATTGAGTCAAATACTATCTCACGGAAGCTCTTATCTGTCTGATTTGATCAAGAAAACAGAAGGACAGTTTCAAAAGTAATACAAAACAGTAATAAAGTTGAGACATTAGCATTATCAACAATATCATAATCATACTGAATTAATCAATTTGGGGTAGTATTTTTTTCAATAAATATAACGGAGCATGTTCTCGAGCTCAGAACCTGAATTGGTGCATTAAAATGCTTCCTTCTATATATGCATAGGTTTTGTTACAAGGACCGTGTAGAGGGATGAGAAGCAGTGACATGAAGGGAGACCCCCAAAGGAAAATATCATTTGATTAAATATAATTATTTCTTTTCCAAAGCTTTAAAATAGCACATGACCTTTTTCCTGAGGCACTCAAGATTTAAGAGCACATGAGTGATTTTCATGGCTTTGTAAGTTTCTAGGATATTTTAATTCTGTAAGATGCAACCAAATCCCAAAGATAATCATTTTTATATAACATTGGGAGTGTGGCATGTGGTGTATTTCATGGAAGAAAGAATTAAACCCTCCAGCAACCTTCTGGAAATTGTCTGGTTGATAGACTAAAAAAGCAAGAATAAGTACAGGGATAAAAATGTAAAATTACTGCTCTTCAAATATACGAGGGGGTACCCCCCTTGTATATCCAGAAAGAAGCTCTCCTGGCCGGAGCTTTCATAGTATACATTTTTCCAACTAGGCAAGCATCAAGCAACTCCCTCTGAGTAAGTGCACCCAGTGGCGTCATCTGGGAAGGTTCTCTCTGGTCACAATGAATGTTTTCATAAAAGCAGTTTGGCTCAAACCTTGTTTTTTGTGATGGGCAATCTAAAAGAACAGCATGCGGCTCTGTGAAATTTTGTTTCCTGCTCGGGAAAAATGCCACAGAAAGTGTTGTGCTATGGAACACAGCTTACAAGGACAGCGCTGTGGGAAAACTTCACGGTGTGAGTGGTTTTCTCATTTCAAAAAAGGTGAAATGTTGATTGATGACAAACCTTGTTCTGGACATCCATTAATGGAAAAAAATGTTGACAAAATTCGTGCACTTGTGCCTTAAGGCAGATGATGGACCATTGAAGAGATGGGAGAGTTCAGAAGAGTTATCTGAACGATTTTGGAGCTCGGTTCAGTGAATTTTAATGGAAGATTTGGGAATGAGAAGGGTTGCTGAGAAATGTTTGACTCCGTTTTTGACTGACCAGGAAAAAGAGCACCGAGTGAAAACATGCTGTGCTTAGGACAGCTGTCCTTAGGACAGCTCCTAAGGACCCAGACTTTTTTTACCAAGGTCATTACTGGTGAGGAGACATGGTGCTATTCTGATGACCCTGAAAGAAAACATAATTCAAACCAGTGGAAGATGCCATTGTCATTTCCCCACCCCCAAAAAGCTCGACAAGTGAAATCAAAGATCAAGACAATGCTCATTTATTTTTTGATGTGAGGGGGATAATGCATTTGGACTTCATTCTACCAGGTCAGACTGTTAATCAAACTTTCTTTTTAGAGATTCTGAAAAGATCGCGTAACAGTGTCTGACAAAAAAAAAGGTCTGATTTGTGGCAGACAGGGGGCTGGTTTTGCCACTAAGACAATGCACCTGCGCACACAACCATCTCATGGTGTCAGATTTTGGCAACAAACAGCAGGTCTCTCTTGCCCCATGCACCTGATCTTGCTCTGTGTGACTTCTTTTTGTTTCCATAATTGAAGAGGGGCATGAAAAGACAGCGATTTGATGAGGTGAAGAAAAAAAACGAGGGAGGTGTTGGAAGCCATTCAAATCGATGAATTTGAAAAAGGTTTCCCAAAATGGAACTGCAGATTTGACAAATGTTTTAAATGTAATGGAGAATATTTTTGAAGGTGATAAAGTTTCTTTGTTAAAAAAAAATTAGATACGTAGCTTTGAAAAAATTTATTAATTCCTTTTTTGAAGGTTACCTCCTCGTATGTGAAGAAGATAAAATTGAAGCATACAAAAACTCTGGAAGCATATTTATCATTGTTTTTATAAAGATTATCTCTGGGAGGTGGGCTTTCAGGTGTTTTGATAAGATGTAACTTTGTACCTGTCAAGAGCAGAGATCCTAAAACAAATAAGATCTTGCCTCAATTCAACAGCAGCTGATTTGGTGTTGTGTTTATATAGATGGTGTAGTGCAGCTTATCTGTGTTCATACAATACTGGAAAAATCTATTCAAATTAAACATCAGCCAGAGAAAAAATTATTCTAGCCATAACTGACCCTTTAAATTTTTAAAAAAATGCTATCTTAGCACATGCTAGAGGAAAGATAGCCACACTCTTTGGGCATGCTTCCAAGGAAGCATGAACGCTAACTCCCTGCCCTTGAAACTGGGATGAGGTCAGGGGGTTGCTTCCCTAATAGAATACAGTAGTAACCACATCTAGGGTTTTTGAGACCAAATCCTAGTTGGAGCTGATAATCATCTTTTCCTATGGAGCACCTGGTTGTTTTGAACTGTGAACTTTGGGGTGAGCTGACCAATTGTCAGCATCACCAAAGCCCCTTTGCTTAGTCACTGAGCAAAGAAGTCATCGTAGTGGACCTTCCAGCCCAAGCAGACACGGCATGGGGAAGAACTGAAGAATTCGACTGACAATTCACAACAGAACTGAAGCCTCAAACATATTCCCAGTGGAACATTCCAGGCACCCAGGTGAAGCCCAGTCACTGCAAAGAAGAAGCCAGGCATTCATTCTCACTGCACCCTACTCTCGACCACAAACCATGCTGTTGGATGCCTTTACGTTCTTGCGAGCTTTGTTATACAGCAGAGATAACCAGAGCCCGCCTGTTTCTACATCAGATAGAGTTCAGGTAGATTTATTGCTAATCTATTTAGTTGCCTATCTTTCCACTAAGAACACATTGTTAAATCGTTTACTGTAATTGGGCTGTCTAAAGTCACAGACTCTTCCTTTATGCAGAATGAAAGCATCAGCAGCAAGCTAATACTAAAAACTGAATAAATTATTAGTTTTCAAATGCCAAATATTTGATATTATATTCTTACCAATGCAAACTCATGTGAGATCCTTCCATCTGGAGGCAGCTTTGCACCAAAACCTAGAGCTGGAAACATCTTATCGCTGTCATAATCTTGCACAATTTCTCCCACTGCCTTCAGGGCCATGCCATAGGCATTCAGTTGGTAAGGATTCATGTAGTGCAGAGAAGTGGGCTGGGCTGGATTGCCTGTCGACAGAGAACATATTTCAGACACAAGTGACAGGGCTCAGAAGAGTTTTAAAAACAACCAACATGTGTTCTTGATGTCTATTACAAAATGAAATATTTAAAATTATGTTTTGATCACTATATTTAGTTTGTCAAATACTCTTTTTTGGTGGATAGATGGAGGCCTCAAAAATTCATGGAAAATTTCCACTATGTTTTTACCCCATTCTTCCCACAAACTTGTAGAAACCTCACTGTATTAACAAATACCTATTTATTATATTACATCAGACATATAGAAAAATTTCCAAAGATATTCCAAAGCATATGCAGAATGATTGAGAAATTATTCCTTATTGTGAATGCTAAGGGCTAAGCATGACTATCAGTTCTGGAAAATAAATAAAAATGCTTCTGTCAATCTTATTTCATTAGATTTTAAGAACCCTGTGCCCTTTACCTTAAATTCTTGTGTCTATAGTCAGAGGATCTGGCTGATTCAATGGGCTTCAATAATTACATCTCTCTCTCTCATTTTGATCGTGTCTATGCTGACTCATAGTGACCATTTAGGGTCAATAATTACAAGGTCTTTTTAAAGTTGCATCACAAAAGTAAATAGAATATTTTGGAAATATTCAAATGCATAGAAACTTTCAAATTTAAACTGACTAAATCTATGCACCTGAAAATTATCCCATTTCTAATTAGACATTAAGAGCAAAAATGTCCTAAGTTAAGGTGGATCAAACAATGATCATAAATCCTACTCCAGTGCTCAGTGGGAGGGCTACATGAAACTATTGAGTGTGAAAATGATTAAAAAATGAACTGAAAAGTTTACTGCTGCTATCGTCTGGGTCATCCACAAATTTCTGTGTTTCCAATATGCTTAAAAGGAGTCCTATGTATAGTGTTGTACTTGAATACAGATGAATTTGAGAGAAAGGGCCATACATGGTACAACTTAAAACACTTTGACAATTGCATTTAGATGCACTAACTACCAGCACAAAGGCAGCCTGGAAATCTGTTTAGCTTCTTAAGTGAAAATGGAGAGTTAAAAGAGAATTATAATAGCAAATTATAATGTTCTACATGATAATATTGCCTTAAGAAAAAAAGCCTCAGGGCATAGGAGGTTTTTTTTAAAATATGGGGAAAAATAATAACAAGCAGCACTTGAGATTAATACAGAGAAAAATAAAAGAGAGTTCTCCCCTTGGTTTATGCTACCTGCAATTGCACACAGGATATATTTGGTCTAAAAATAATTCATTGTACAAATGCATTTACAAATTCTCTTCTCATATGTGTGCCAGACAGCCCTCATCACTCCTTCCTTTCCTCTCTCTCTGTCACACACCACACAGTGTGGCAACGTGAAAATAACCGGCAAGTGGACTGTAAGGTCCTGAGTTCTGAGACCGATGACTCGACTTTTTTCTGAGTTTAGGCTGAGCAAGTTTAAATAACAACATGTGGTAATAATCGGCAAAACCAGCATATGGATCTAGGCATTCAGAAACACCAGCTCTCCCCAACCCGCGTGGCACAAGGCAAAGGAGTGGGCTTAGAAAGTCGTGAACATCTTTATGCCGCATTGCGGTGTCACACAATGTGAAGTCCTAATTTAGTCAAGAGGGACTTGACAAATCAGCCTGTACCAGGCCATTATCTTTATGTTCATACATATATGGTAAATCCAAATATACTCAGAAAAATAAAAGTTAATATTGGAACATCTGCTGTGGTTCTTAACAACACTGGGGAAGTAACTGAAAAAAATTAAACTCAGATTCAAATAAGATTGTGTTTCCCAGCCTGTGTGATCAGGAGGTGTCAACTGGATCAGGTTATTTAAACTGTTTCATTAGCTATATTTTACATAGCATGCTATTGCTTATTAAGATGTACAATTCAGTGGCTCCTCATAGAGTCATAGTTATGTGCTATGATTGCTACAATAAAATTTAGAACATTTTTATTATATCACAAAGAAACATACCCATCAACTATCATTCTCTTATCCCAATTTACCCCGGCCCTAAGCAACTACTAATTTACATTCTGGTTTTTTTCTTTCACAATCTGGATATGTTTCACATCTTTCACTTGCCTACTTGGTTCTGGCTAGATCCACAAATACAGGACTAAGTAGAAGTGTCAAGAACAGACATATTTGTCGTGTTCCTCATCTTAGAAGGAAAGCATCCAGCCTTGTACCATTAATTATGATGCCAGTAAGGAGCTTAAGGAACTCTTGTGGAGCTGCAGGATGGCAGCTTGAGTGATACCGGGGACAACTGGACGGTTAACCGGTTAACCCCAAGGTTGGTGGTTCAAACTTACCAGCTTTACTGGTATCTACTGACATGATCATGTGCTTCTTTGTGTTTCTTACTATACTGATATGATATATTTATGTACATTGTTTTTAGAGTGTTGAGCTAATCTTGCATTCCCAGGGTAAATCTAACCTGATCACTCCAGATGCTGTTGTTGTTGTTAGTGGCTATAGAGTCAGCAACTTGGTGTGAGGGTACAGTTATTTTTACATCACTGTATAGCTGTTTGTGGAACCAGATTGCAGTATTTTGGTGAGAATTTTTTACTTTAAACAAGCACATTTATTTTCTTGTGCTCGAGGAAGCTAAAAGACCAAATCTGGGGACCAGCCCTTGGGGAAGTCTTACTCTCCCAGTTGGCTCTGGGAAAAGGTCCGTGTCTCTTTACAACACCTGTGGGACCCTTAGAGATACCCATATGCCTTGGCTTCGATTTTACCCTAGGTCTGAAGGTAGTAGTCCACAGAAGGGGAAGAGAAACCAAGGAGTGGGTGAACGGTATGTTATTGGGGGTTTTGACTAATGGTTTATACTGATGAATACAAGGTTGATGATCTTTGTATTCATCAACCTATGCAACACGTAATTTACAATTAAAATAATATTTAAAATAACACACACACTAAAACAAAAGGCCATCAAAAAAGAAGTCCCAGCTGCATTGAGGGCATTAGTGAAAACCAAGGCTCCAGGAATTGAGGGACTATCACTTGAAATGTTTCAAGCAGCTGGTGAAGCACTAGAAACACTCAATTAGATATACTGAGAAATGTGGAAGGCAGCAACGTGGCCAACATTTATATCCATTCCAAAGAACAATGGCCCAGAGATTATCAAACCATTTCATCAATAGTATATGCAAGTACAATTTTGCTCAAGATCATTCAACAATAGTTGCAGTTGTGCATCAGCAGGAGTGGCCAGTCCCCTGTACTTCATGCAGGCTTTTGTATATGTGAACTATTGAGTAACAGTTAAAAAAATCTGAGTTCTATATAATCAGAAGAATTATACAATGTGAGAAGACACCATCTAAACCTGTTTGACAGCGGACAGTCATGATACTCACCATTTGATGCTGTAAAATCAATAGCCACGGTGAAGTTGATTTGCGTTCTGGAATATAAGTACACAAATAATGTAAGTAAAGAATAAAGAATCTGCCACAAGTGTGTTTTCCATTTGCTTTTTCTTCTGCCGGTGTCATGGGCTTTCTGACATGTTTGTAATTTGCAAATATCTTGTATCCTGAACTAAATAGCATCCGGAAGGCACTTTTAAAAGGGAAGAACTTGGACAAATATCTTAGTCAGTTATAATTACAATTGTAATATAAAAGATAAGTCAGGAATAGAAATAAATTCTACTTGGGAGTTCAGTGATCAAGGGAAGGGCTCATTAGTGAAGAAGTTAAATTGAAAATAATTATTGCTCATCTTAAATGCCAGCATTTATTACTAATTTGTCCATTTTCAAAACCATTCTGTTGTCATTGTAAATTTATTATGCCTGTAAAAGAGTGGCAGTTAAAATAATCTCCAATAATGTCATTTTGTAAGCAAATTCTGTTAACAAGCCTCAAAACAGATGTTTTCTTCTGCTTTGTTTAGAGATAAATTATGTCAGGTATGGGCTTTCCACTCCCATGAACAGTTACAGTCTTGGAAAGTCAGGGGGTAATTCTACCCTACCTGGGGTAGTCTAGGTACATTAGAGAAACAAATCCACAGAAACTCATGTATAAGAGAAAGTTTTGTATAAAGGTTAAGTGCACATCAAGAAAACATCCCAACCCAGTGCTGCCTAAGCCCACAAGTCCAACATTAACCCATATGTCCAACACCAATCCACAAAGTCCTCCATCTCACAAAACACATGCAATGATGCCGACTGCAGGAGGAAAGCCAAATCAGTGAATGTGTGAACATCTCAGTGCTGGCAGGGGCTTCCACACGGCTGCTCCAGCACCCAGGGCTGCATCGGGGTAGGTCCATGTGGCTTCTCCTCGGAGATGTCTTACAGGAAGTGAGCCTTGCCAGCTAAAGCAGAGAACTAGCTAAGGCAGTGACACCCTGGTCCGACCATCAGAAAGCAAGAGACCCAAGAACTAGAAAGGCGAGGCTCACTGAGCCATTTATCCCTCCACCCTTCAATTAACCCCACATGTGTTTATCTGCCAGGTTGGCACAATAAACTAACTACCTCACTACCCTAGGCTTGCTATGAGTACACCTGGATTTGATGGCAGGGAGGGAGTCTATCAGTCAATGCTCATGGCATTCTGTGTATCCATGTGTGTGCAAGTGAGAAAGTATTTGTGTATATATAAAATTGGTTAATGGTTTATTTTAGGTTTTTCTTATTTTTTGATGGAATCTAAAGAAGTGGCCTTTGCATAAGAAATTTATTCCTCCGCATATACTGATTAATCCTACATGTAATTTTACCCCTGTCACCAAAGACATAAGAAGACAAATAAAAAACAACTATATGATTGCTGGGATGACACAGAATCACATCTCGTTAAAAAATAAATTTCACTTAAAAATAAATAATTTGAAAATATGAGTATTTCGACTATTTTAAAAATAGTTTTATTGAGATTTAATGAACATATCATACAATGCAATAGTTAAATCATCTTAAGAAGGCTTGTGCATTCATCACCACAGTTGACTTTTGAACATGTCGTCCTTCTTGTAACTATTGCTGCTGATGCCCCACTTCCTCCCCGCGCCCATTCTGTGATCCCAGGTAATTATTCATTTCTGTAGCTGTCACCATAGATTCCCACATCCTGAATTCCCTATACAAAAACACCAAACAAACATACAAAATCAGGACAAAAAACCCCCAAAGCAACCCAAAAATAATTATCAAACACAACAGAGAAAAAACTCAATAGAAAAAAAGGCAGAAAATAAGTGGCAGTAATGGGTTGATTTCCCCTACCCCGCACACCCTGGGAGGCTGACCCCATCTGGAGTGAGGCCAGCTCTCTTGAGGTGGTTTTCAAGATATTCAAATAAGGGGGTGACTTAAGTCCCGGTAGGTAAAAGACGTTATGCTTGGCAAAACAGAGGGGGAGAGAAAAAGAGAAAGGCCCTTTACCAGATGAATGGGCACATTAGACGTAAGAACCATTGTGAGGACGGTGCCAGACTGGGCAGCACTTTCTTCTGCTCTACATAGGGGTAGCTGGGAGCTGGAACTGACTTGAGGGCACCTGGCAGCCACATAGTAGGTACACCACCTCATTCTTCGGCAAATCCTGTGGGCAATACTACATGCCCTGAGTCCAGAGGACGGTCTTTGTCTTGGTTGCTATCCTTACAGCAGTGGACTCCTCAAATATTTCTCCTTTCGTGCGTGACTAACTTCACTCAGCATCATGGCTCGCAGGTTTCTCCGAGTCATGCGGTGTTTCACGGTCTCAACACTTGCTTAGGGATGCATAGTGCCCCATCGCGTATGAGTACGGGTTTCTTTATCCATCCTTGGCTGATAGGCCTTTGCGCTGTTTCCAGCTACTTGATCTTGCGGATTTTGCAGCATTCATGTTCTGTCGCTTACTTCTTTGGGGTTTATGCCAGCAGAGGTATTGCTGAGTGATACGATATTTCTACTCCCAGGTGTTTCTGGAAGCACCACATCACTTTCCACAGCGGTATATATATTTACAAGCCCACCAGTAGTGTAAGAGAGTTTAAGTATCACCACAGTCTCTCCAGCATTTGCTGTTCTCTGTTTCTTTAAATTGAGCTCCGTATCTTTGTGGTGTAAGTTGGTATCTCATTGTTTTGATTCACATCTCCTGGATGGCTAATAATTGTGAACATTTCCTCATATGTCTGTTAGCCATTCAAGTGTCTTCTCTGATGGATTCCCTGTTCTTGTCCTTTGCCCACTTTTTTTAAATCATTTTATTAGGGGCTCATACAACTCATCACAATCCATACATACATCAATTGTGTAAAGCGTATTTGTACATTCATTGCCCTCATCATTCTCAAAACATTTCCTCTCCACTTAAACCCCC